TGCTCTGGAAAATTCCCCTAGGCGAGGGAAGTCCAAATGGCTTGGCCACCTGCTTGGAAAGGCTGAGGAGAGGAGTGGAGCACTTGGGAGGATTCAGTAACTCAGCCTGGCCTGGAGCTGGAGCATGGATTCCTCACAGCAGTGGCTAAGGGTCCCAGTGCTGCAGGGCGGCTACACAGCTGCTACCATAGGGAAAAGCCTCAGTGGTAACTAGGGAGAGCTACTGGCCCAGGGCTCAGGATCTGCAGGCCACTCCCTGAGAGGCCTGGCTGTGCTCTAGCTGCCAGAGCTCAGGCTGTCCTGGAGGGACATCTGCTCACACTGAATCCAAACAGATTCAAATGAACAGCTTCAGCAGCCTAGTGACACGTGTCCTTTTGACTCAGACTCTGCTCCTGCCATTCGGCCTTGACGGCCAAAGGGCTCCAGGGCCTTAGATGAAGACTCAGTTTTCTGTAGTTCCTGCCTGCTTTCCTTCCTTCCTTTCAACATTGTTTTTTAGACACATCTCCAACCTAGGATAGCTACAAACTTGCTGTGTAGTCCAGGCTAGCCTTTAAATATTGTATTTATTTTATTTTTATTTCTGTGTGCGTGCGTGCGTGCGTGTGTCTGTGGTGTGGCTGTGTCTAAGCATGTGCACATATGTGTGTACTCGGAGGGCAGAAGAAGGCATCAGATCCCCTAGAGTTGGGGTTACAGGTAGGTGTGAGCCACCAGAGACAGGTACCGGGAACCAAACTCTGGTCCTTTGGGAGAACAGCAAGAGCTCTTAACTGCTGAGTCATCTCTCCAGTCCCTTATAGAATAGTTTAAAAACCTTACCTAGGGGGCTGGAGAGATGGCTCAGTGGTTAAGAGCACTGGCTGCTCTTCCAGAGGACCTGGGTTCAATTCCCAGCACATACATGGCATGGCATAATTGCATGTAACACCAGTTTCAAGCAGATCTGAGACCTTCACGCAGACATACATTCAGGAAAACATGAATGCACATGAAATGAAAATTATTTTTAGAAAATCTTAGGGCTCTCCAGCCCCTAGGCTGTCCTCACAATGCGCAGGCCTCTGCCTCTGCAGTGCTGGGATGACAGGCATGTGTCACTGGAGCTGTCACTGGGTGGACAGTGAGGATGTGTAGCACCCTCCGGCACCTGCAGTCCCACCCCCAGGGTCCTTACTTTGTTCGGATCATCATTGCTTCAGATTCTCACTGCTTCAGTGTGTCCCCACCTCTGGCCTCTCCATGTGCTCTGGAACCTCAGTCTGGAACAGTGCCTGGCCACAGGACAGAGGGACTGCATGCACACTGTTGAGAACACATTCATCCCTGTGGCCTTCTCCCCTGTCTCGGTTCCCCATCTGCAGCAATGGAAAGAGCTTGTTACTGTGTAATGTGTGCAGAAACAAAGCCTCATTTTACAGGAACAAAGCTCTGGGCTAGTGAGATGGCTCCATAGGTAAAGAAAATTGCCACCAACCGCGACCATCTGAATTCCATTCCTGGAACCCACATGATGGAAAGAGAGAACTGACTCTTAGAAGCTGTCCTTTGACCTCCTCATATACACCATGCCACGCATGCATGCTGCCCCCTAAGTAAAGAAATGTCATTTTAAAAAATGTGTGTTAGTGTTTTGCCTCTGTGTCTACCTATGCCCCACATACATGCAGTGCTCAAAGGGGCCTGAAGAGGGCGTAGGATCACCTGGAACTAGAGTTTCAGACAGTTGTGAGCCACCAGGTGGGTGCTAGAACTCCAACCTGGGTCCTCTGCAAGAGCAGCAGGTGATCTTAATGTCCGAGACATTACTCTAGTGCAGTAATATATCCTCGTGAAAAGAAACTAAAACTTTATCCAAAGACAAAGAATCACTTTCTCTTCCCTTCCTCTTTCTCTTCTTCTTCTTCCTCTTATTCTTCCTCGTCCACCTCTTCCTCTAACCCCTCCTTCTCCTTCTCCTTCTTCTTCTTCTTGCTGACAGGCTCTCCAGTAGCCTAGGCCAGCCTAGAACTTGCTATGTAGCTGAGAGTGACCTTGAACTTCTGATTCTCCTGCCTTTACCTCTGGGTTGCTTAGATTATAGTTTACATCAGCAGTGTATAATATGGTGGGGATTGAACCCAGGGCTTCATGTGTGTGAGGCATGTGCTCCCAGCCCCAAGACTAATTCCACAGGAGGAATTACCTGTTGTGAATTACTACAGGAGGGAATCCCCTATCACAGACACACTGGGGTTAGTGTCCTGCTGCCTAGGACCTGCTCTTCCTCTCCACACTCAGACCGTTTGATGGCACTGGGGACAAGGTGAGTCCTGGATAATCCTCACTGGCCATAGAACCCTTTGTTTCAAATGAGTGACACATATTTGTGGTCATGGGCCAGCCACCCTCTCTGAGGCCTCTCAATCACCAGCTTCTTTGAATCTGTCCTGGGACTGCCTCACTTAAGAGCTGGGAGGCCTCCCTGTGTCATGGGGATGGGCACTGAGTATCCTAGCCAAACTCTCAGAAAGAATGCAGGAGTAGGGTTCTGCAGGGCATTGCTCCTGGTCCAGCTGGAGTCTTACCCACAGTGCCTTGGGGATGTTGGGCACCACCAAGGCTCATGGGTATTGTTCCGTCAGGGCAGCTGTCCTTTTCCCATGGGCTGGACATGGCAGGCTAAGAGCCAAGCCCGACTGTGATAAGCAGCTTGGCCCCCACTTCTGTCCAAGGTCTCTGGATAGCAGGGAGGTGGCTCTTGGGCCTTCCAAGTTGGCTAGGGTCACAGGGACTGGGTGGAGCTTGGGGACCCTAGGGGACATAAAAGAGTCTCAGACTAGGCAAGCCTCACTTCCCTGACCCGCACCATGGCATTCCTTTGGCTCGTGTCCTGCTTTGCCCTTGTGGGGGCCACCTTTGGTAAGTGCTGGGGCTCAGGTCCCATCAGAGGGAAGGGGTCATAAGGAGGGAGTTGTACTGAAAGAGCTGATCCTCCACCCTTCCTGCTTGAACCACGACCAGGACACTAAAACCTCAGTGAGGACTTTCGGGGCCCTCATACCCTGCTTCAGGAGCAGAAAGACAAGTCAGGGCCCAGCAGTGGGCTGTAGATCCAGATGTGGCTGAGGTGGGGGTGCTGTGGCCCATCAGGAGTCAGCTGCCCTTCTGGGGGTTTAGTTACCATGCTGGCAAATGCTGAGCATTTTGCTTTCTTTCTCTTGTTTGCTTTTTTTGTTTGAGACAGGGTCTCACTGTGTAGCCCAGGTTAGCCTAGAATTTACTATGCAGTCCAGGCTGGTTCAAACTTTGAGCGATCCTTTTGATTCAGCATCCCAAGTCCTTGGGTTAAAGACAGTGCCAGCCACCACAACCACCTTAACATTTTGCTTTTCATTTACAAAACAAAGAAAATAACTGGTGAAAACAAAGGGGAGAGATTAGCCAGAGGTGGTGGTATGTCCTGTGGTCCTTGCACTTGGGAAATGATGCTTCCTGCGGAGACAGGGTCTAATGTAGTCCTTCCTGCCTCCATCTCCCAAGTGCCTGATTACAGGCGTGCGCCATTACACTCAGTTTCAGAAGACTCTCTATCCCTCCCTTTTGTTTTGTTTTTGTTTTTTAATTGCTGTTGCTTATTTTGTTCTGAAGTACCATCTCACCCTGTTGTTCAGTCTGCCAACTCCTGGGCTCAAGCAGTTCTCCTGCCTCAGCCTTCAGAGCAGCTGTGACTATAGGCATTTGCTACTACACCAGCCTATTTTGTTTCTTTACGTGGGTGTCAGGGATCTGAACTGAGGTCATCATTAAAGGTGAATGCTCTTATCCACTGAGCCATCTCCTCAGCCTCAGTAGTCCTGGCTGTACTGGAAATCGGTAGACATCGCTGGCCTCCAACTCACAGAGATCCCCCTGCCTCTGCCTCCCCAGTGCTGGGATTAAAGGTGTATGCCACCACCACCAGACCAAATACTTCTTTATAAATGATAACCCAGATTCAGCCAAGCTTCCCTTTGCTCCCTCCCACACTCTACTCTGAGTCAATTTTCTTCAGGCTTATACAAACACACTACATATTTATATATCCATAAGCAAATAACCTTCAAATTACATAAACAGTATCTGACTCTGTCAGTTTTACAACATGCTCTTTTTCCACTCAGAATGTGGTAGATCAACCCGGGTTGCCATGGAGACCCAACTCACTCACTTAAAATACTCTGCTGTGAGAACACATGACTCTTAGTTCTCATTGTTTGGGCTATTATAAAAATGGATTATTGTGACTTTGGGGGGTAGATCAGTCATCATCGAAGGGCCTTGTCCATTTCCTTGTCTCTGTGCACAAGACAGAGAGATGCTGGCCCTTGAGGAGTCAGAGAACTCCAGAAGTGGTGGAGCTGGTCACAGGGTCACAATGCTCCAAAGTACAGACAAACTGTGAAGCCCCTGTGCAGATGTGCTAGCCACTGTAGCAAGTGGGTCCCGGCATGCCCAGGATGCCTGACGCTCCCTCTGCCTGTCTTCTTCTTCTGTGACGTGTTCTGTCATGGTCTAGAATCAAGTCCCCTTCTTTCTTTCTCTCTCTGTCTCTGTCTCTGTCTCTCTCTCTCTCTCTCTCTCTCTCTCTCTCTCTCTCTCTCTCTCTGTCAAGTGTGACAGAGGCTTACCATGTATCCCTGGCTGGCCTTGAACTCAGATCTCCCTGCCTGTCTCCTGAGTGCTAATATTAGAAGAGTGCACCAACACACCTGTACAAAGTCTAATTTTCTTTAAAAATTGAGGAACTGAGGTCGACATGGTGGTGTGCCTCTTTAATCCCAGTAATGGGGAGGCAGAGGCTGGTGAGCTCTGAGTTCAAACCCAGTCTGGTCTATAGAGGAACTTCCAGAACAGCCAGGACTACACAGAGAAACCTTGTCTCAAAAACAAACAAACAAACAAAACCAAAATTAAAGAACCAAATTTCACATGATGAATAGTTACAGAACTAGGCAGGTTCCCCAGAATGGCCAGCCTGGAGGTTGAGGCAGACAGGCTACTGGTCCAGCCTGGAGGTTGAGGCAGACAGGCCACTGGTCCAGCCTGGAGGTTGAGGCAGACAGGCCACTGGTCCAGCCTGGAGGTTGAGGCAGACAGGCCACTGGTCCAGCCTGGAGGTTGAGGCAGACAGGCTACTGGTCCAGCCTGTTTTCTGGTCCTTTCTTGTGATATGCCTGGATAGGGCAGCTGTGCCTCTTTTCATTCCTGGGAGGATAACTGGGTCAGGAGGCTGTATGTGTGGGGCCCCCTGAGCCAAGAGGTTAGAGGGGAGCCAGATGTTTCCAGGGGAGATGGCATGGTCTCAGTGGATCTGAGTTGGCTGAGGAGTTCTACATCATGACTATCCCTATCCCCCAAGGCTGTGGGGTCCCTGCCATCCAACCTGTGCTGACGGGTCTGTCCAGGATCGTCAATGGAGAGGATGCTGTCCCTGGCTCCTGGCCCTGGCAGGTGTCCCTGCAGGTGAGAGGGGGATTCTGGGCACATGAAGGCACATTCTGGGGTGATGCCCACGTGGGAGGCACTGACCTTCCTCTTCCTCTTCCCCAGGACAAAACTGGCTTTCACTTCTGCGGGGGCTCCCTCATCAGCGAAGACTGGGTGGTCACTGCTGCCCACTGCGGGGTCTCGTGAGTCCCAGACTATCTTGGGGTTCTGCTTCCAGCTTTATTTGGGGTTGGGGAGGGGACCAGACCCATTCTTCATCTTCACCCCTATGTGTCTCGATGCCTAGGACATCTGATGTGGTGGTGGCCGGCGAGTTTGACCAGGGCTCCGATAAGGAGAACGTCCAGGTTCTGAAGATCGCCAAGGTACATAAGCTGCTGTGTGGCTGAAGGGCTCAGCCCACAAGCTGGGGGTGGGCAAGGCCAGCAGAGAAAGCCCCTGCCTGCTTGAAGGACAGGAGGGGCACAGTGGGTCTGGGGCTATCCTTAGAATTCTTTCTGTTCTGTTCTGATGGGGCCAACAGGAATGGAGCTTGTCCCTGCAACTCAGCAGAGCCCAGCTCTTCCTAGGTCTCAGCTAAGCTTCTGGTCCCCACAGGTTTTCAAGAACCCCAAGTTCAGCATGCTCACTGTGCGCAATGACATCACCCTGCTGAAGCTGGCCACTCCTGCCCAGTTCTCTGACACTGTGTCTGCCGTGTGTCTGCCCAGTGCTGACGATGACTTCCCTGTGGGGACAGTGTGTGCCACCACTGGCTGGGGCAAGACGAAGTACAATGGTGAGTGTGCTGTGGCCTTGTTCAGCAGAGGCTGTCCCCAGGGTCAGGCTGCCTGGGCAGCAGGCTCCTCCAGGTGTGACCTCCATGGTGTCTGCCTCCCTTCCTTCTTCCTTCCTTCCTACCTTCCTTCCTTCCTTCCTTCCTTCCTTCCTTCCTTCCTTCCTTCCCTCTTTCCCTCCTTTCTTTTACTAAATTTCAACATTAATACATTTTCCATTTCTTAATTTGAAATTTGTGAATTAAAGCTGGACACGGCAGCACACTTTAATCCCAGTACTTGGGAGGCAGAGGCCGGCAGATCCTGTGAGTTCCAGGCAGCCAGAGCCAAGTAATGAGACACTGTCTGGAAAAAAAAATATTAACTAGCAATCTATAAAGTTAACAATTAGTATGTGTCAGTTAAGGCTTAAGGTTTAAAACTCACCCAGCACAAACAAAGGATTGCTGATAAGATGTGGGAAGGAAGCCCTCAGCCCAGCAGGAGGTACTGTCCTCTTTGGCCCTAGACTGACTGTGAGTCCCATCATGGGTCTCTGAGACTCCAGCAGGGTGGGGGCCATGCTGTCTTGAAAACTTACATACCCACTTCCCATGGCCACAAGGAGGGCTGGGCCTGGGCAGGGCAAGAACAATATGACAGCTGTGCTTGAGGCCCAGCCCTGCCTGTGGTGGAACCTGACAGCAGCTGCCCCACAGATGCTTGGAAGGCCCAGTGGTGCTCTCCAGTCTGCTGGTGGACTTAGGGACCCAACTCCACTCCCTCTGTCCCTGTAGCCCTCAAGACTCCTGACAAGCTGCAGCAGGCAGCCCTGCCCATTGTGTCCACCGCTGAATGCAAGGAGTTCTGGGGATCCAAGATCACTGATGTGATGATCTGCGCAGGCGCCAGTGGTGTCTCCTCCTGCATGGTACAGCCTCCACCCCACCCTCTCCCAGACCTGCCGAGCCCTGCTCAGGCTAGTGGAGAGCACAGGCCCACAGTGGCCTGGTTCCCACTGCCCCCTGCCCTTCTCTGCTGAACCTCATGCCTTCCCAGTGCCCAGAAAAGGATGGGCTGATGCCAACAGTCACCCCTGGGTGGCACCTCTGCCCAGTTGGTGCTGTACCGCCCCTGGGTACCCACTTTTGCCACCAGCTCTGTGAGCTGTGTGTGTCTCCTACTCACAGAGGGAGGCTAGATGTAGGTCCTTCCAGGAGGACCTGAGCACAGCTGGTGCCGTCAGTGAACCCCAAGGACTTGCCTACACTCTCCCTTGCACCCCACCAGGTCCAGGTATCCTTATCAGGGTTGAAGACAAGTCCTTTGTCTTTCTCTGCAGGGTGACTCTGGTGGCCCTCTGGTCTGCCAGAAGGATGGAGCCTGGACCCTGGCAGGCATTGTGTCCTGGGGCAGCGGTGTCTGCTCCACCTCCACTCCTGCTGTGTATTCCCGAGTCACAGCCCTCATGCCCTGGGTTCAGCAGATCTTGGAAGCCAACTGAATCTGTGGTTCTTGCCTCCCTCTCCAAGCATCTGCAATAAAATCATCTAATTAGAACACTGACTCTCTGTGTGTCTTTGTGGTCCAGGGACATGAGACTGGCATTACTCCTGTCACCCACCGAGAAGACATTGCTGGTTCCTTCCTAGGTTACATACACCCTGATGGCCCCTCCTTCTTCCTATCTCCTCCATTCTTAGAACTCCCCCCGAGGTCAGAACTCAGGCTATTTTTACTGGAACCAGCTAGACCCCCAGTGTTCTCTGGAAGGCAGTAGGCCTTGGCCAGACTCTGTCATCCACAGTCCTGGGGGATCAGTCACCTTTAGAGCCCTGACAGCCTCACGGTGAACCTCGTGCTGGAGACTCTTGTCTGCCTTTAGGCCCCTGCTCCCCACTGCCCAAGAATACACATCCTCACAGCACCCTTCCTGTTCAGACCCCATCCCCGCATCTGCCCCGGACTCGATGTGCGCTCCTGGCCCTGGATGTTAACTGCCATCCTGTCAGATTCCTTCCTTCCTTCCTTCCTTCCTTCCTTCCTTCCTTCCTTCCTTCCTTCCTTCCTTCCTTCCTTCCTTCCTTCCTTCCTTCTGCCTTGGCTGTCCTGGAACTCACTCTGTGGACCAGGCTGGCCTCGAACTCAGAGATCCACCTGTGTCTGCCTCCTGAGTGCTGGGATTAAAGGCGTGTGCCACCACGCCTGACTCCTATACTGTCACCTCTCCTGGTCCAAACACTATTTCCTGCCTTTGGGTGTTTAGAGGCTGGATCCCCCTGGCTTCGGTCTCTTTGTCAGGTTACAGATGGAGTAGCCCCTCCCTGGGTCAGGACTGCTGTGTCTCCTCTTGAGAGGGTGCCTGACCTCATTAACAATGCAATGCCTTTACTGGAGACTTACAATCTGGTATCTTGATCTTATCATTTCATTCTCATTTCTTCTTCAATAGAGATGCTCCCCTATCTGTCACTAAGGCCCTCGTGGTACCGTTCACACAGAACACACTGGGTAAATAGTTATTCCTTTACCAATTTTTAGGCATCTTTTCTTTGCTAATTATAGAAGTTACCGCGTTACACATTTAATGTGCGCATGTGCGTGCATTCGTGGGCATGTGGAAATCAAGGGACAGTTTGCTGGGGTTGGTTCTCTCCTTCCACCATGTGGGACCTGGGAATGGAACTCAGGTCATCAGACTGGGCAGGAAGTGAGTCAATGGGCCATCTCACTGCCCACTTTATATGTGTGTTTTGTGTGTGTGTGTGTGTGTGTGTGTGTGTGTGTGTGTGTATAAAATCTATATTAATTATATATACTTAATATTTCTATTTGGTTTTATGTGTATGGGTCTTTGCTTGTATGTCTGTCTGTACATTATGTGCATGCACATCCGCAGAGGCCAGAAGAGAGTGTCAGATCCCCTGGGACTGAAGTTACAGACGGTTGGGTGTCCTGGATCTTCATATCCTGGATGTTTTCAATATCGGAGTCCTGGTCAAACTGCCCAGCCACCAGCATGTCAGATGTCCTAGGCATTGAGATACATGGAAGAGGAGGAGAAAAAATTGACCTCCTGTCCTCCCTTCCAAATGGAACTAATACTAGAGCCCCAAGGCAACCCAGGCCTCACTTGACTCTTTAATGGACAGTCAACTCTTACCCTGGCAGGAACCCCAGGTGAACAACCTCCCAGGTCGTGTCCTCATGTGCCCAGAATCCCTCTCACCTGCAGGAGGAACACCTACCAGGGCCAAGAGCCTGGGACAGCATCCTCCCCAGTGACCTTCTCCACAGCCTGGGAGATGGGGAGAACCCAGAGCTGACTCTGATTTTTGTGTGTTTGTTTTTGTTTTTGTTTTTCCATATGAAGTTGAGTATTGTTCTTTCTAAGGCTGTTTTTGTTTTTGTTCTTTTGGGTTTTTTTTGTTTTTTGTTTTTTGTTTTTTTTTTGAGACAGGGTTTCTGTGTGGTTTTGGTGCCTGTCCTGGATCTTGCTCTGTAGACCAGGCTGGCCTCGAACTCACTGAGATCTGCCTGACTCTGCCTCCCAAGTGCTTGGATTAAAGGTGTTTGAGACCACCGCCAGGCTGTTTTTTGGTTTTTTGTTTTGTTTTATGTTTTGTTTTTTTGTTGCAAAGTTGACTCTGAGGACCTCTTAAGTCTTGCCTCTTCTTGTCCCTGCCTCTTCTCACCCATGACCTATCCCAGTATCTGGGGACCAGGAAAGCTGATCCCCTGTAGCTGGAAGTTTTCCTGTTTCCTGCTGGGTCCTCCAGCCACTCAGACCCAAATAAACATACAGAGGCTTATATTAATTATGAAGTGTATGGCCATGGCCTATGGCTCAAGCTTCTTGCTAGCTAGCTCTCATAACTAAACTCAGCCCATTTCTATTAATTTATATGTTGCCACATGTTCTGTGGCTTTACCTCTGTGCCATGACATGCTGCTCCCTGGATGGCGGGATGGCGTCTCCTCTGCCTCTGCCTTTCTTCTTCCTGTCTCTCCCCTGATTTTCTGCCTGCTCTAAGCTGCCTTGCCATAGGTCCAACAGCTTTATTTGTTTATTTTTTTAATTTAATTTATTTATTTATATTTTTTAAAAGATTTTCATTTATTTATTTATTTATTTTCTAAGCTGAGGACTGAACCCAGGGCCTTGTGCTTGCTTGGCAAGTGCTCTACCACTGAGCTAAATCCCCACCCCCTTTATTTATTTATTATGTACACAGAAAAGAGTGCCAGATCTCATTACAGATGGTTGTGAGCCACCATGTGGATGCTGGGAATTGAACTCAGGACCTCTGGAAGAGCAGTTGGTGCTCTTAACCTCTGAGCCATCTCTCCAACCCCCATTTATTTATAATTTTTATGTATGAGTGCTCTGCATATATGCCTGCACGCCAGAAGAAGGCATCAGATTCTATTACAGATGGTTGTAAGCCACCATGTGGGTGCTGGGAATTGATCTCAGGACCTCTGGAAGAGCAGTCAGTGCTCTTAACCACTGAGTCATCTCTCTAGTCCCCAAACAGCTTTATTTATGAACCAATCAGAGCAACACATATTCACAGCATACAGAAAGACATCCCATAGCACTTCCCCTTTTCTTTCTAATCAAAAAGGAAGGTTTTAACTTTAATATGGTAAAATTACATATAACAGACAAGCAAGAATTACAGTTACAATATTTAGTCTATTTGAATTTGGCAAAATTAAAGAAAATATTCTATCGATCCTATATTTGTGAGTCTAAAGTTTTATATCTAATTTATCTTTTATCATAACCAAGGAAAATTACAACTATCTAGTCTTCAACTAACAAAACCTCAGAAGGATACAATATTACCTACATAAACAGGAAGAGCATTGTAAGCAACTTCCAAAAATTTAGAATGACAGAGACAACTGGCTGCCTGGACAGTCACCCAAAGTTCCTCTGTAATGTTGGGGTTTCCATCTTCAGCCCATAGGCCTAGTCTCTCAGTCATTTTTTTTCTCTGTGTTCTGTAGAATGTTTGGCAGTTTCTTCTGTGAAACAGGAACCTGAAGGGTCATCTCAGCTTGCAAAGTTCAGTGGTCACCTTCCTATGGGTCCTGAATGTCCAGTCGATACAACATTTTGTCAAGCAGTTCAGGCAAGTACAGTTTCTTGCCCAAATGGCTATTTTTGCCAAGAAGATAAACTCCATATAGAGTGTCTTCAATGCCCATCTTTCTTGCTGAAGTAAATTGGTGCTGCCAGGAGCAGATGTGTCTCACTGTCCAGAAAGTCTAAGTTTTTAAAACATTTTAAATGCCATATTCTGTAGGTCTTTGAAGTATTTGAAGATTACCTACCTAATTGAATTATATCTGTGTATATGTAGAAAACTTAACTAACAGGACTATAAGTGTGATTATCATAGAAGACTAATTATTGATCTGTATTTCTTAATTATTTTTTACAATTTCAAATGAGCTGCATGAACATAATGCTTTAAACAAGAGTAGAAATATGCATCATTGCCAGCTTCATAGGACCGGTGTGTGAGGATGCAGGACAGACCAAAGTTCTTGCTCTGTTCTTGATGTACAGGAATTGCTCACGGCATAGACTTTTTTCTCTTTTTGAGACAGGGTTTCTCTATGTAACAGCTCTGGCTGTCCTAGAACTCACTTTGTAGACCAGGCTGGCCTTGAACTCACAGAGATCTGCCACCTATGCCTCCCGAGTTCTGGGATTAAAGGTATGCATCACCACTGCCCAGTGCATAGACATTTTTTTTATCTTTTTTTAAAAATTTATTTTTTTTTAGTTTTTCTTTTTTTTAATTTTATTATTTTTATTTATTTATTTTTTTGAGACAGGGTTTCTCTGTGTAGCTTTGTGCCTTTCCTGGAACTCACTCTGTAGCCCAGGCTGGCCTCAAACTCACAGAGATCCACCTGCCTCTGCCTCCCCAGTGCTGGGATTAAAGGCGTGTGCCACCACCGCCTGGCTGGGAGGAGGTCTTAAATACAGGTTTACAGCACAATGGGAGAACCCTGGAGGGCAGAAGTTCACTGATATTTTACAATCTTTCATCTAAGCTGTTAATGCCCATTATGCAGTATACACAGACAAGGAACTTCCCTTAAGCATTCAGGAGGTTGAAATCCAGGAGGGAATTACATAGGGAGGATATCAAGGTCACAGTCAGCAAGCAAGTTAACAGTTACCCAAAACGGGGGCCAGGGCCCTGCATAGACATTTTAAAAGATTTATTTATGTATATGAGTGCTCTGTCTTCCTGTAGGTCTGCATGACAAAAGATGGCATCAGATTCCATTACAGATGGTTCTGAGCCACCATATGGCTGCTGGAAATTGAACTCAGTACCTCTGGAAGAGCAACCAGTGCTCTTAATTACTGAGCCACCCTTCCCGGACAAAGAAAAGACATTTAAAGGGTCAAATATAGGGCTGGAGAGATGGCTCAGAGGTTAAGAGTACTGCTTGTTCTTCCAAAGGTCCTGAGTT